ATACTCTGTCATATTATTGGTACAATCAAATATCAACCTTGCAGTGAAAGGGATATGAGATCCATGGGGAGTAATAATCACAGCACTAATTCCTTTAATGTAAGCATTTATAGCTCCATCAAACAAAATACCCCATCGGGATTCAAGATCAGGACCTTCCTCTGGCAAAGGTTCATCACAATCTTTGACCTTTAAATATGTCACATCATCGTCAAGGAAATCAAACTTGGCTGACTGATAATTATCTATCGGCTGATAAGCAAGATACTCTACCAACACACTGCTTTTAATAGATTTCTAAGTATGATATTCAATGTCATATTCAAACAACAGCATTTTCCAATAGGAAATCCTTCTAGTAAGAGCAGGCTTTTCAAAGATATACTTAATTTGATCCATTTTGTATATCAACCAAGTGGTATGATTCAACATATATTGTCGCAGACGCTTCGCGGTCCAGGACAAAGCACAACATGTCTTTTCTAACAAAGAATACAGTGACTCACATTCAGTAAACTTCTTGCTTAAATTGTAGATAGTGTACTCTTTTATTCCTATTTCATCTTGTTGTCCCAAAATACAACTCAGAGAATTATCCAACATAGTCAAATACATAATCAATGGTCTTCCTTTAACAGGAGGGAGCAAGATAGGAGGTTCAAGTAGATACTTTTTAATGCTTTCAAAATCCTTATGGAAATCATTCGTCCATACACAACATTGATCTTTATTCAGAAACTTGAAGATCGGTTCACAAGTTGCAGTCATATGGGAAATAAACTTGGAGATGTAATTCAAACGCCCAAGGAAACCTCTGACTTTCTTTTCAGTTCTTGGCGTGGGTATTTATTGAATTACTCTAACTTTATCAGGATCAACCTCAATACCTTTCTGGCTAACAATGAAGCCTAACAACTTTCTAGAGCAGGCACCAAAAGTTCATTTATTAGGATTCAAGCGGAGACTATACTTCCTCAAACGCTGAAACAATTTCAACAAGTCTTTTAAATGCCCTTCCTCAGTCTGAGATTTGGCGATCATATCATCAATATAGACGTCGATATCTTTATGCATCAGATCATGGAATAGAATTGTCATAGCCCCCTGGCACGTTGCACCATCGTTCTTCAATTCGAAAGGAATCACTCTGTAACAGAATGTTCCCCAGTGTGTGATAACGTTATTTTTTCCATGTCCTCAGGAGCCATTTTAATTTGATTATATCCGAAAAGTTTGTCCATGAAGGAGAACACTTTGAATTTTACTATGCTATCTACCATCATATCAATATGTGGCGGAGGGAAATCATCTTTTGAAATAGCCTTATTCATGTTTCTATAATCAACGCACATGCAGACTTTTCCGTCTTTTTTTTGAACTGGAACAATGTTGGCAATCCACTTAGGATACACTGATGTCACAAGAAAACCGATATCAATCTGTTTCAATAACTCCTCTTTAATCTTAACTGCCATGTCAGGGTGAGTCATTCTCAACTTCTGCTTGATAGGTGGACATTCAGGCTTTAATAGCAAACGATGCTCCACAATATAAGTATCCAACTCAGGCATGTCTTGATAGGACAAAGCGAATATATCAACATATTCCTTCAACAAATCAATCAACCTGCTCTTCGCATCGGGATGAAACAATGCCTTAATCTTGACCTCTTTCAAATCCTCTTCAGAACCAAAATTAATGATATCCAACGACTCTTTATACAGCTGAATGGTATTCTCCTCGCGCTCAAGCAATCGAGAAACCTCTTATGGGATTTCAATAAAATCCTCTTCTTCATCCACATACACAGGATATTAAAAGTTGGGAGAGGGCGCATGGTCATTATTTTCAACGAGTTTTTTAATTAATTTGCGCATATGTTTATGCTTGATTTTAGAAAGTGATAATCCAATAAGTGATTATGCATATTTATTTACAATTATTATTTATTTTGAAAGAATTTTTTATTACAATTTTCTAAGAAAAAGCATAAAATAAAAACATACTTTGGAAATCAAAAACAACTTTTATTTGATTTTAAAATTCAAAACAAAAAGATACGTCGAGACAATATCGATTTCACCTTTTAAAGGGTGAAAGGATTTTGAAAAACAAGCAAAGACAAATTACTTTGATAAGTGAATGCAGCAGGTAACATCAACAATGATCTAATTCTGAACTTTCACTCCATACGTCGTAAAGTTCAGAATTTCCTACTCGGGTTCATCTTTAATGACGGTGTTAACCTCTAGAGGAGTTGGATAGAGATAACCTGCGCTGTGGAAGATGTCTCGGTATGGACAGAAAGTTGACTCTGGCTTCACCACCTCATTCTTATCCTTCTGTGGGGAGAAACCCAAACCCGTCTTGTTCTTATTTACTAGTGGATCAATGACCTGACCCCACACACTGCTAGGACCTTTCTGAACCACTTGTTGCACATCTCTGAAGGAGGAAATGAAATTTTTACTCTTCTTTATATTATCAATAGACAAATCTTGGAACTGAGTTCCAACATCAGTTTCATCAACTTCCATAACATTGAAAGAAGACAAATGGGATACCAGCAAAGCATGTTCACTATTCACAATCACCACTTTTCCTTCACGAACAAATTTCAACTTCTGGTGTAAGATGGATGTAACAGCTCCCGCCTGATGAATCTAGGATCTTCCCAACAAACAACTGCAGACTGGCAGGATATCCATGACTTGAAAGGTAATCTGGAACATGTGTGTACCTATGTATATTGACAAGTCCACTTCCCCAATGACAGGTTTCTTTGAACCATCGAAAGATTTCACTATAATATCGCTGTAGCGCATAGGAGTTCCTTGATAAGTGAGTTTCGACTGAGTACTTTTTGGTATCACATTCAGAGCATAGCCATTATCTATCAACACATTAGATAAGGTGTCATTTTGCAATTCAGAGATATGTGCAAGGCCATATTGTGATTTCTTCCCTCATCAGACAGTTCATCATCACAAAATCTCAAATTATTGCAATCCATGACATTTCCCACAACACCATTAAACTGGTCAATCGACACATCCTGCTCAACAAAAGCTTGGTTCAAGACCCTCATCAGAGGTTCCCGATGAGCTGCCGAATTCATTAATAAGGCCATAATTGAGATTTTAGTTGGAGTTTGCAGTAATTAATCAACAATTTTATAGTCACTCATCTTGATGATTTTTAGAAGATCGTCGACATCTTTTTCCAAAGTAGCACCACTAGTCTTCCCTTCCACCTTCTTGGGTTAAACACTAGCTTCAACAATCTTACCAGAATCAAAACTCTTTTGAAAACTCGGAGCAAATACACGACCATTCCGGGTCATATGACTCGCTTCAGCAATGTTTTCCACACAAGACTGTCCCACATGTATAATGCTAAAAATGTAGCGGTAAAGATTTGAGATTAAACAATCAATTGACTTATCTTACTCAATGAAGTCGCCACCGTAATTTATTGTTTCCAAAGGAAAATGGGGAAAAAAAGCGAACAAACCCCAAAATAAAATGAAAGAGAGATCAAGGTACAAGAGTCAGTTATGCAGCGGGAAGGCATTAGCACCCTAAGCATCTACGGTACTCCACATGATCCACTTTATTTGTTTTCTTTCAAAAGTTGTGTTATCTAAAGGCTTACTTGCTAAAGGCAATGAATGAAAGAATATTTACAAACAAAAGAAAATGTTTTTTATTATTACGCTCGCCGCGGTTGCGAATATTTGTGTCTACGTACCTCCTTCGTGCAATAAAAGATCAAGACACTCATAGTTCTTCTCAAAAAGAACAAAACTTGGTTTGTTGAATTGTTTTGAAAGAAGAGACTAGTCGTCATTTTTAAAGGAGAAGACTTGTCTAGTCGTCCACAAGGTATAAGAAAGAAATACTACGCACCAACATGAGGGAGGGTTTGAGAACACCTCTAGTACTCAAGTGAGAAAGTCGATACCTTTATAATCATAGGGATAGGAGGAGAATATCTCGACTATAGATGAATCATATCTAATCTTGAAAAAAAATTAAAGGAGAAAAGGTGCTCGAGTGCACAAAACATATTTAAATGAGGTTGAATGTTTTTCAGTTTTTTTGAAAAGGTTTGAATATGCTAATGCGGTTTAATATTTATTAAGAAAAGAAGTTTGAAAAAGACACTTGACAAAGTCAAGGTTTTAAAAATTGAAGAATGCAGTAAGAGATGAAGAGACTATCCTATGTACAGGAAAGTAAAAGAAAAGGTAAAAAAGATCTAACCAAACGGAAGCTCATACTTGATATAACGAAATCAATATAGCATTCACATCCCTTTGGATTTAAAGTCACAAGCAGATAAATAAGTTAAGAGTATACCAAATCTCAAGTGAAAATAAATCACAAGCAGACAACATCAAAGAAACTCAAGGCGTCAGATAAAACTCAAAGCATCAGATAAAGCGCATCAAGTGAAAATAAATCACAAACGGAGAAATCGCATCATGTAAGCTCAAAGTATCAAAATAAAAGCTCAAAGTGTCGGATAAAAATCACTATATCAGATAAAATTTCAACTGACAGACAAAACCAATATAGCAGAGAAATAATCCGAACATATCATATGAAATAAGAAATTCAAGTCAAACGGACTAGAAATCTGTATCAGAACTAAATGAAACAAATGAAATATGAAATGGATGCTTAGCTAATTAACATAAAAGTTGATTAAGTTAATTAATTAAATTAAGAAAAATTAATTAGTCAAAATTAATTAATTTTTAATAACGAAATTAAATAACTAAATCGACTTTTAGTTAATTAACTAAAAGCAACAAAGTAAAATTAAGATGAAATGAAAGTTTTAGTCGATTAATCAAGAGTTGATTAATTTAATTAATCGAGTTAAGAAAAACATATTAATGAACTAATCCATTTTTATAACAAAATCAAGTAAATAAATCAACACTTGATTAATCAATCAAAGGCGAATGAATAAAAGGCGTGAAGAGGAAATGACTACTTGATCTGTCTTGAGAAACTTGCACAAACCAACAAACAAGTTAGTAATCACAAGAGAAATTGTAACCAAATGAAACTTGCATGAATGTAACATGAACAAATGAATATTTATCAATTAAGAACTAAGAAAACAAGTTGTTATTAAATGTAAATGGCAAAAATCAGCATTGCAAATATCATTTCAAGCATGTTCAAATTCAAGTAAACTCGAAAGCCATCACGATTTTCAAACCACAAATGAAATAAGAAGCGAGAATTTGCTTTATTACTCACTTGAACACAAAAAATCAGCATTTCATACATTGTTTCAAGCATGTTCAAAGTCAAGTAAACACAACGCTAAGCATGATTTTCTAATCACAAATGGAACGAGAGCCAAGAATTCACATCATTTACTCAATTGAACATGAAAAAAAACGGCATGGCATACACAGTTCTAAGCATATTCAAAGTCAAGCAACTTCAAGACTATCATGATTTTAAACCATAAACGAAAACCAGAATCAACAACTCAAGTTATTACTAGATTCCGAACATGAAAAATCAAATTATAAACAATCTTTAAGCCTTTAAAACGAAATCCGGACAACAACTACGTAAACCTAAAGATGCTCAACAATTTCAATTCAAACATGTCCAACACGAGCGGAATACACAACAATGCTACAACCAAACTTAATCTCATTTGAATTCAACTCAAATGCACCCAAAACGTCATCAACATCTCCTTCAAACTAGCTCAATCAACACGATACAACATCCCAACAAATGGCTCAAGATCAACCACACAATAACATCATCACAAATTCATCATCCATTAATTTTCAATAAACTCCACAATAACCACATCCTTATCAACTTCTATCAGTTTCAAACAACAAACAACATCATCGCAAACAGTTGTTCAAGAGTCATTATCTTCATTAAGATTAAACAACAAATTCAACAATAAACAATAACTACATCAACACCTTACACACTTATTCATCAACAATGTCATCAGAAATCAATTTCAACATTAAATTCAACAACTAGAAAAACATCATCAATTCTAAAAAGAAAGTGTGAAATTACCAATTGATAGAGGTGAGGGAGTTAGCAGGGATATTAACTCGAATGAACAGACTGGGGGAGTATGATGATTTTGTGGTCTGTTCGGAAGAATGAAGAAGGTTTACAATGGAAAGGGTGGAATCCGGTGTGGGTTTTCGAAGGTTGTTAGCGGAGAAGGAATACGGTGGTTGCGGAGGGAGCCATTTGAAAGGACGATGGATATAGGAGAATATGGCACAAGAAATTTTTGTGTTTGATTGAGAAAAAATGAAGAGGAATTTCATTTGTTCTGAGTTTTCGTTTAGTTAGATCCAAAGCTGCCTCCTCTGCACAAACCAACCTTATCTCTATTTAACTCTAAAAACTAGGTTTAGCTAATTTTAAAAAATGGCCAAAATGATCCTAATGATAAAAGTGACATTAAAATTTAAAAGAATAAAAAATAAAAAATATAAAAATATTTTTGTTTTAATTTTTCAGAATAAAAAATAGAATATCTAAAAGTTTCAAAAATAATAAAAAATGAATATTTAATTAATTAGAAAGAAAATGAATACATTAAAATAAATTTCAAGTACCAAAAATTAATAAAAAATTATCCAAATTGTCAAAAACAAAATAAAAATAAAAATATCCGATTGTAAAATGCTGACGATTAAGAACGAGACTTCAAACTGTACTGAAAAAATAAAGCGAGCACGCCGTTATGTTCTATGCGAAATGTAGATTCATAAAACAGTCAGTAAAAAGTGAAAACTTAAAATATTTTCTCACTAATTTTCCGCAAGTATCGAATCATTTTTAACGATCTCTCTATAAAACCGAAATATCAATGTTATCGACATATAAACAATTTGGAGCAATGAGAGAAGCAGGTAAAGAAATAAAAATGCATGAAATGAAATATCAAGTATTTTTCAACTATAAAACGATGTTGTTGTACCCCAAAATTTGCCCTCTCATTTATCAAATATTTTCTCACAAGATCTTCTTTGGTTCAAGATTGCACAAGGATTGATCAGCTCAAGACACCTCCTTAAGCACTGATGACTGAAATTAGGGTTTGAGATTGCAAAAGGATAATTGAACTTTCAATGCCTCATATGTATTTCATGGATCATTATGGACCCCCAAGATTACTCATGTCAAGTTTCAAGCCTTGGATCACATTTTTGCCCAGTCAATTGACTAGTTGACCTAAAAATCAGTTGTATTGAAGAAAAAGTCAATTGTGGCCAATTTACAGTCAAAATTCATAATTTTTTACCCATATCAACAATATGAACTCATATGTATCACTTGATCAAGTTTGGACCATAATTCCTCAAGAAATTTGATCAAATCATCAAAAGGGCAAAATGGTCAAAATTAGGGTTTTGACTGAGAAAGGGCAATTTCTGATTTTTGACCTAGTAAATGGATAATTGGTTTGTGGCATGATCTCAAGAGTTAAATTGCATCATTTTAACCTAATGGCATAACTCAAAACATTGTCCAAGATCAATTGGATTGATAGTGGATTTTCAGTTAACTGATCAAAAATCAATTGTATACTGAAAGGTTAAACTTTGACTTTTTGGTCAAAATTAAGTGTCAAAGATCACAATTCATCAAAACATGTCAAAATATAAAACTTGTTCATCAAGAAATCAAAAAGTCAAGATTTCATTTTGAAAAGTCAAAGTTTTCAAACTTAGAAATTTTTCTAAGTATGGAAAACTTCATGTTTTTTCACAACTTTGAGCCAATTTTTCACCATGATACAAGATGATTCAAAAGAAACTTTCAACATGAAAGTTGTAGATCTCTATGAGATCTACAATATTTATTTACACAACTTCTCCTATAAATGCTAGGATCTCAAGTTATTAATTTATGAAGTCATGATCTTGAAACTAAACACTTAGTGAAATTTTGAGCATTTTAGGTCAGGATTTTGACCTAACTTCTGACCCAAGTTTCACATAGTTCCATTTGTATTTTGCAAAAGTTGTTTAAAGAAGGGTTATAGAGAACATTACAATATTTCCAAAATTTCCAAGAACTCCTTGAGATCATTTGTGAGTAAGGAGAATCGAAGGTCAGAAGTTGGGGTTTCAAGTTGTTTTACAAGGCAAATTTTGTGATGAACAAAATTCAAATCTCAAACCTATGCTGCATAATCTTTGCTTTACAGGCCTCAAACTTATTTGGTACTCCATAATTAAATGCTTGTACAGCTGTTATAGGCTTTAACTCAAGCATTCAATGAAATGCCCATGCTTTATGTCCATTTTAGGAAGAAAGTGCACAATGCCATTTTGAAAAAGTAGCTTTATACACAAAACTTGTTCTTGAACCTTGCAATGGTTTTATTCTGATCATACACGACCTATAACTCAAAAGAAGTTTCTCTCAAGCCTCACAATCACTCAGCCCATGCTTGTACTTCATCTTGGAACCATACTTTCACTTTTCTTCAAAATCAAGAACATAGCAATCAGTCTAGAGCTTATACTTTTGACCCTCTCAAGCACTCAAACCTTCTCATTACTTATGTACAAGTCCTTAGCAACAAAAGACATGCATGCTTAAGCCCAAAAAACTCCCAAGAACTCAGAATTGTATCACATACCTCCATTCTTGCATAACCTGACCAAAAGTTTGAAACTCACATATCCCTCGTGTGTTTTCAAGCCTTTTTGTTCCTAAAGCTTCTAAAAATCATTTAGAACTCATCCCACACCCTGTTACAAGACTGTAACACCATTAACACCATCCTCCATTTTCAAAAAGAGAGCTTTGCACTTGGACTTCTCCAGCACGATTCAGCCATCTCTAGTACAAACTAAACATTGCGTTAGCTTCCTGGGACCTCAGTGGAGCTATTCTGATCATCACAACACCTTGAGGAGTGCTCAAACTCAGAATACGATTTCCAGTTTTGAGGTAAGTTTCCTTAACTTGGAACTCTTCATACAAGCATCATTAATGTTTAATTTGTGAATAAAAAATGTAGATATCATTGCCCTGAAGCTAACCATGTCCATAGTTTTCATTTATGTTGCTTGAGCTTACAGAATTTTAAGATTGAAATTTCTGGAAAAGTTAGGGTTCAGATTAGGGCCATTAAAATTAATATTTATCTTTGATTTATAGTTTTAATGCTTTATATTTCTGAAATCGTGAGGAAATTTGCCACAAGATTCATGTTTACACTTTTGCAAATGGATGAGAAATGAGCAAGATGCAGGTGGTCTGACCAGAAGCGAGGTTGAAGATGAAGTTTGCCTTCAAGAAACAGTTTCTAATATAGATTTATGGTTTTACATAAGTTAACAGATGTATAGTCACCCCAGTGGTAAGGTAGCGCGCTGGTAATCAAGAGGTCATGGGTTTGAACCTCAGCACGCTGCCTTTTACATTTTTTCCATTTTTTGACACTTTTCTGTTTTTTGCAGCGCCTGGGCCAGCAGTTTGGGCCTGACCTTTTTTTCTTACAATACTCCCTGTTTCACTTATCAACCTCCCTGACTTTATTTTTTTGTTTTATTTTATTTTTACTTATTTTTATCTTTTATTATTATTATTAATATTATTATTATTATTATTATTATTATTTTCATTAATAAAAAATCTAAAAAAAAAATATTTATATTTTATTATTTATTTTGATTAAGTTTATTTTTCTTCACAAAAATAAAAGAACAAAAAAACATTTCTTTAATAAATTAATTTACTTTTTTTAATACTTAGATAATTAATCTTAAGTATATTATTATATTTTTCTTATAAAAATCAATTTAGAATTTAGGACTTTTTATTTGATTAATTTTATTTACTAATTAAGTTCACAAAAACCCTAAAAATTACTTTTCCTTAAATTAATCTATTTTACTAACTTAATCTTTTTTTATTTTTTAGTAAATTATTTTATTTTAGTTAATTAGGTAAAAAAAACCTTTTCATGAAAAAACCAAACAAAAATCATATTTCTTTTTACATTTACATTCTTGTATTTTATTTTTTCATTTTGTACATTTATTCAAATTCAATATGGTTGTAATAATTATTTAGATTTAATTTCTTGCAATATTCCCCATTTATAATTTGTATACTCCTTCCCCTAAATGATGTAATAGCTTAGTATTTTTATTTTTCGCAATTTAAATGTTTTATATACAAATGCTAGTAACTAGGGTTTGTATGGAAAGATTAAAATCAATGCTTAGCAAACCCTAATCAAAGATAAATCAAGCATGAAAATCAATACACTTGCACACAAACACCCCTAGGGTAAATCCACTTGGTTGCCTTACAAAAATGACCATATTATGCATGTGAGGTATCTTAGCAAAAACAAGCAAAATGCAAGATCATAGTCCCTCGATGACGTTATCTATGTTGCCTTTCAAAATGATCTTAGTCCCTAAAGAAAAATGCTAAGATATCTTGCAACATTGCTAATCATGGTTATACGATGACCCACGCCCGTCCCTTTTACATCCAAAGATATGGTTACTGTTGTACCCCAAAATTTGCCCTCCCATATTCTTCAAGAAATTACCAAGCCAAGTCACAAAATTCCCCAAAGGTTGCACAGCTCAACTGTCTCCTATACAGTCAAAACTAGGGTTTGGGTTCTGATCAAGAAAATGAAGTTTTCAAAGGCCCAATCAAGTCTCATATGCCTACAAATGTGGTCAAACATCCTCATATCAAGTTTCAAGGCATTCAGCTCAAAATTGCACAGTCAAAACCCTAAATTGCACTACAGTCAACTGTAGGGGCAAAATGGTCATTTGACAGTCAAAAGTTCAAATTTTTGGTCAACATATCATTTTGAAGCCACAAACATCATTTGATCAATGCTTGATCATGATTCTCAAAATTTGGGCTCAGAAATCACCAAAGATGCAAAAGTTTCCTTATTTGGACAGTTGAAAAAGTCAACTGAAATTGACCAGGGCATAACTTTCACATGGATTATCAGAAAAATTCCATCCAAAGCTCATTTTGAAGAGAAAGACATTTCCTACAACTCATCTTCATACTTCAAGTCCAAGAAATGCTCTCACAAAAAGTTATCAATTTCAACATTATAGGTCATTTTCAAAAGTCAACAAAAAGGGACTTTAAGTCAAAGGCCATAACTTGAGATTGGAAAATCAAAATGACATGGGACCAAAGGCATTGGTTAAAGGACTCAAAGACCTTTCCAAAATGTCCAAGAACATGAGAAAAGCTTAAAAATTGAGCAAGTTATGCATTGGAGAAGTTGGGAAATTTTTGTGAAATGGCAAAA